GAAAACTACAATAACTGGAATAAAACCCTGGTAATATTCAGACACACAAAAAGTTAAATGTAAACACCACTGCTGTGATCTGGACAGGGAAGTAGAAGCTGAAGCAGATATTTCACTCTTAATTTGCTGCCATTCAGGGGTCCTGTTGACAGGAGATGGAGCCCGTCTCAGCGGAAGAGACACAAGGTTAGGAATTTAGTAGGGCTGGATCCTATTCCTCCTTCCGCTGCTGCTCTACTGTCTAATCCTGGGCAAGTACATCACCTCCAGGCATCTGGTTCCCCTCCCTCCCTGACACATCTATTTAAACTGCAAATTCAGAGCGGTGGCAACCATCTTGGTAATGATGAAGCACGTACAACACAAAGCACTAGTATTTCTATTAATACTCCCACTACTCTTAATTAAGGAAACAGAAAATGTGACAGAAATTGAGCAGTCAGTGATGCATTATATTAGTTTAGAGGTATTTGGGTAAAAATGTGAAAGGCAAGCTCTCCCAAGTGGTGGCAGCCAGAGGACACCTATGTTGTTTTCCCGCATATTCAGGCAATCCAATTAGACATAATTAAGTTTTTAACTACATGAAATTACTTCAAGAATACCATCACTAGAGGCTAAGACTCCTGGGAGGCTGGGGGAAGGAGCAAGAAACATAAAACTGGAAGGAACAGGAAAGGGACAGGGCATGCAGCTTGAAACATGCTGAAGAGAGCATGCAGCTGAGCCCAGCTAAGGCATTCATGTTTGTAAAAAACATGTAAATAGCTGGGCCACAGTCTCAAAGGTTTGCATGTTCCCAGTTCAATGAATTAAAGTTAAATACATCAACACTTGTAAGTTTTTCTTAACCGCACTGGTGATGTGAAGATCTACAAGCAGCAAAAGGCTCCAACAGTCCTGTAAATACCAGAAACATTAAAAATCCTAAATTACTGTAATGAAATTAATTACTGTTACATTTGCAAACTGCCATTCGTTTGCAATGTATATGAGCACCTCTTTTAGACATTAAAATTACCTTCACATTAAAGCTGCCTCACAATCTGAAATGGTCACTCCATTCACCAAGAACCAGAAGAGTTCTATTGCCAGACCTTAGATTTGGTTTGTACACCCTGATAAGCCCTAGAAATACTAGAAATATCATGCATCTCCAACAAGGTTTGCTCTTTTTGAAAGCTACTAAAATCTAAGGTACAAGCATTGACAGAAAATAGTATTTTTAGCACTACTGCAACAACTGTTCGCACAACTGCAGCAACTATTGCTGCAGTTTCCTTTGTAGCTTTACACTGATTTGAGATTAGCTTTCGTAATTGTTTTAAACATTCAGATATGCTCAAAGCATAGTTCTCATTAAGATGAGCACAATAAACAGAAAACTCTGAAACACTTTCTCCCACCACTTACAGAGGCAAATCAAATTGATTAGGAAGGCACACTTCATGCACAAAAGTTACAACTTACTGAAATAGAATTCACAAGTTAATAAAGCAAACTGTGAAGGAAAAACAGCTTCCACTTGAAAGGAAAAATGAACAAACAAAAAAACCCAAACTAAAGGGAAAAGTGAAGGACACCCTATTCCCATGAGCTAATTGTCTGTCTTGTGCTATAGGGGATGCTCTTGCTTAGCTTACAAGTGAAAGACACTGCCTCCTCACCGTGCAAGCATAGGAACTGCACAACGCTATTATGACACCTTAAATGAGCAAACTTCCTTGAGCATTCCCCAGGAGACTAGAATGGGCATGCCTCAGCTCAGAAACTGAGAAGCATGTCTGATTATCAGTCAGGCTGAAGAACATCTTTGACCAAAACCATCCCAAGAAAAACACTCATGTTCAGGCTGAGAAAAAAACCCCATGGATTGACACAACTGGCATATTTTTATAGCCTTTGTGTAAACACAAGCTTTGGGTTAGCCAGCATCTCAGCTGGCTCTATCTGGATTCCCTTCTTTTGAAACAAAATTAAGGAAAATACTTCTCAGAAAAGGTCAGTGGCCAAACTATTAGGAAAAAATAAAAGTACAGAGGTACAGAGGAAGAACATACAGAGTGATTCATTAAACACGTGCTGTCAAAACTGTTAACAGTGAGCACAAAGCAGACTTTTCACAGGAACTATAGTTAATTTGCAGAACTCAAGCCAAACTGAGCATTAATTAGAACTGTATTTTTAAAGAAGTTTTTGGTACTCCCCATGGCTTAGACAGGAACGAAGCTAAAGCAACTATAGAGAGTTGTTTCCTTGAAGGGCAGTGCAGCAACAGCTCTACACATTTCAAGTGTACACCTATGCAAAAGAAATGGACTGAGCATCTCAAGATTTTAGAAAAACACTTGAGCCAGAAAATAAGCGTGTCATAACGTGCCCAGGTGGGAACTCACTTTATACTGTCACTGGAATACACTGCCAGGGATCATCAACCACAGCAAATCACATACAGGAAGCAGTAGTGCTTTTTACAAAACAAACTCTTCTGAGTCAAGCAATTTGCATTTGACTACAGTAACGTTCCAAGGAACATCCCAGTCCTAAACCTGAAAATATCAGACATTTCACTGAATTCCACAGTCAATTTGGACAGCGCAGCTAATTAACCAGTGGAATATTGTGAACTTTAGGTCTTATTTGTTCCTTCAGTATCCTTGATCCTACGTGTTCAATTAAGGTTACTGATTTCTTGCTACAGTTACTGTTGCACTGTAATTACAATTGATTTGGTATGTTCTGTGTTAAGGAGGTATTTACGGAAATTGATTGACTCAATTTACAGTATGATATGACTCATTCTATGATTCTATGATCTTAACTTTCGCTTAAACAAGAGGGCGAACACAGTACAAAGCATATCTTTCTGCCTTTGAACGGATTTTTGTAGCTCCTCTTTGCATTCTGATTTTTGTATTCAAAAATACAGTCAGCAGAACTCTCTAGTCCATCAGTCTTCCCAATACTGCATCCAAAAGGAAAAGTCCTATTTTATTGCTGCACTATTCACATACCCAAGGCCCCCACATTCACATGCTGTGGCTAAGGACAGAACTGGTTAAGTTGCTTAGCTAAACTTCCAAATCCTCTTCACAGAGCCTGTTATTTACTCTTCTATTTATAATTTGCATTTAGTCATATTAAAACACATTTCATTCAAATGAGGCCAACTTGTCAGAGCAGCCCTGTAAACTGCCAACTTATGTGTCATCCACAGAAATTCCACATCTGCTTCAAAACACTGAACTGCATCCTAGCAGAACACCCACAGAAATATTCCCATGCTGTGGCAACAAACAACTACTTCAGAAATTACAAGTTAGCCACTTAATTTATTTTGTAGAATCTCAATATTGTTATTATTGTGTAACATAATTTCTATGTAATTCTAAAAAACAATGTCATGTAATAACTAAATCAAGCACTCTATGAAGAAAATATGGAAATGGTCATCTTTCTCAAAACCTGTGATTTTATCAGTGTAAAGTCTGCTTGATGTAATCCATTTTCCATCAACAGTAATAACTAACATCAAACATACCTATACTTAACTTTATTGTTAACTGTACTTACTCTTTTTTATTATTAGTTCTTTTTTTAATCTAGGACTGAGGTCAGTCAGGGTGGGGGTTTTTTTGTTAGTCTGGGACTTAAATTAAATTAGGCATCTACTCACACTTTCTGAACGCTGATAAAGTAACAATCAGTTACCTGGAATATCCCCTATTATTCCAAACTTTAAAAATTAAATGTCATGATCTAGAAATCTCCTTATCCAAGTCTTTCACCATTCCTGGATGAAGTTTATTTAGGGCTACAGATCTGAAATTACTGTTAACGCATACTGCATTTAACATCCATTTGCAGATGCATTAGAAAGTACTTCTATTATCCTCATCATATAGTATATGCTAATCTTCTTCTTCCCAGAAGAAAGGCCAACAGCTTTAAGAAATTCTGACAATATATTTAAACAGCAAGAAAAAGTACAGGCATTCAGTTAGAATTGTTTTAAACAGAACAACAAACCTTTCTGCCCACTAGCTTTTCTACATGAACAGAAAATCCCCCAGACTCTCACATTTTAAAAGCAAAAGGACGAAGATACAGTTTTTTACTACAGGAAAACAAGAAAATAATCTGTACAACTTTGCAAAACCTGGAACTACTGGGGGGGGTAGAGGAGGGAATGGGGGGAAAGCTGCAAGCACTTTTACATTGTGAACTCTTTTGGGGATAATGAACCCAGCACAGACATCTGTGACAAAATAAATTGATTAACTGATGGAAGGCTAATTTGATGCAAGGGCTTTTGCTTTGCTGACTTTTTGGTTTGTTGAGGAAGGTGAATATTGTTGGTTATTTTCAAGACATCATTTACCACTACAATTCTAGAATACAAAGTCTAAAAAAACCGCAGAGATTTAAAACAAAACAGCAAACCAGTGAAGTGCAAAAGAGACCAGTAATTCACACTCACATCCCCCATTACCCCCAAACTTTACATTTCCACAGCCAGGCTGAAGTGTACTTGTACCATGTCATGATAAAGAACAGGAATGCTGACAAATCTTTAGCTGCCACCACAGGACTAACAAATACTTGTCGATTCCTGGAATCTAATAACAATGAAAACAGCATCCTTAACCATTTGGCATTATTTTTTAAGTTGCTTGTCTCATCACACAGATTATTCCAGTGCTTAAAGTAAATCTCAATAAAGTGCAGCCTGTCCTGGAACTTCCAAAATTTTAGCTTGCAGGGATAGAGATAAAGCTTGCTTTTTGGTAACTATGCAATGAAAAGATTTCATATATTCTAAATAGCAGAATGATTAAATTTTTCAATTAATTCATAATTACATACTTAATTGAAAGAGAAGAGTCTTTCATATAATATGCAACTTAGGTTTAAGGAACCTCTAAATTTCATATAAGGAAATCCTCAGTCTTTTGAAAAGCATTTAAAAATAAATAAACACACAAACAAGCAAGACTTACCATTTTGATCCCAGTGGAAAACGTGACTGGTCTGACCTGGTTGGGTTTTTCCACTTGCATTTCTAGCTGAGTAGATCTGTCCTTATGCTGAGCTAAAAGCAATGAAGCAGGAAGATTGGACTTCTCCTGTAAACATGAGGAACAAATTTTGAATGCTAAACCCCAAAACTCTTAATTAACACTGCATATTTTTCAAAACTGAAAGCTGTGCCTGAAAGGCCATCACCAGCAGAGCAGCATAATGCAAAGTATCCTCTCTATGAGTAACAGTTTACAGAAAACAATCATTTTCAGTAATAAGAAAAAGCTGCAGAAACCCCATAAATAAAGTGTAACCTGCAAACAACCATTTTTATAGAATCCACATTAAAGACAATATAACAGGCTCCTTATTTCAACTGGCCAATGTAAGTATATTTATTAAAATAAAATTTAAAAAATTAGAACTTAATCAGAGAAGGAATAATACCAAGTATTATAACTCGGATCAGATGTTTATCTAAGACACATTCTTTACACCAATGAACTCAGACCAGTTTGAAATTGTTTCCCACTAGATTTCACCTGAGGCCGTTTGGAAACGATCCTTGCTCTGCTTTGCACAATGGCACTATTGTAAAGTGCAAGCAACAGCATATTTATTTCTCCTTCACCAACTTATTTTTAGGGAAGCCAGCCAATTTTTACATATATATATATATATATATATATATAAAGTAGTAAAATGAATAGTTAAGCAAGTGAACTACTTAAGCTCTCAGAACAGATTATGAACATACATATATGCATGCAACTGCGCTCTTGAGAGAATCAGAAGACTACCTGCCAAATAATTTTCTAATGAATTCATGCAATTATACACACACACCCTGAAAGGCCTGAGACTTGCTAGCTAGAATCACCCTAGAGTTGAGAAAAGGGAAGAAGTTCAGATGGATTCTTCCTGGACTGCTCTAGAGCAGTACTTTATTCCTAAGGCCTCAAATGTCACATAGACTTCTATTTCATGGAACCAAGCTAATATTAAACTATCAACAATATTTGTTTCTCATAAAATAAAACAAGCTTTAATAAACTGGGCTGTGATTGTCATTTACTCATTTCAGGGTAAGAAGATGGAAGTTTTTAATGCTGCAGGATGCCTTGGTGTTGACAGTAGCCTACAGAAATCTTAAGTGATCATGGAAAATGGTCATGTTGCACACTGACTTTTCACATAACTCTCCAGCCCTCTTTTCCTCTCAAATTTTTGTGACATTCCCTTTGTCTTATGGCTAAATTGCAAGTGCTAAAAGCAAAAAAATCTCATATGACAAGATATGGTCCAGAGTCACAAATACAACAATATGGCACAGGATCCTACTCACATTTCTGTGATTAACTGGGAGATGAAGAAGGAAGAGGTTAAAAGCTTAAACTGTAGTAATGAGATATCTAATTTTCTTATAACTAGAGAAAATTTGGACCACAAATGCACTAGTTTACAGTCTTCAGCCTCAAAGTGTTGTACATGTCTAATCACCATGCAGAAGCATGTGCTGCTAGCTGTCACCAGAGTTTAAGGATGCTGGATTCTTTTAATCATCAGTTTTAATATCCTGGGAGAGAAGTGAAGTGTGAAGCCTTCTCTGGTTCATTCTGCCCTCTCATATTCCTTAAATGTTCACTGCACTTCCAGTACAATAACTAAAGGAAATTTTCTACCAACTAAAGAGTTCACACAATGACCAGTAAACAGATTACACAACTGTGGGAAACCTGCACCATGCCAACACGCCACCACATACGTCATTGTTTGTCCTTTCAAATACGCAGATAACCCTTCTGTTAACTATTAACACACATGAAAGGTCCAATCCTTTAAGAATTTATCCAAACTAGCAATTCTTTATACGGGAAAATAAACTAACAGTATGAACAAAGCTAGTTATATGCAAAAAAAAATCTGAAAGATTTCTCTCAAAACTTCTGAGGTTCTGCTAAAAGTAGACACTTTATATCTTTAAAGCACCTTACTTATCACTTGACTCCAAGATATACCCCAGCCCAAGAAAAACCTGACTGTTTGCCATGAGCATCAACGCCATTTTGGTCGTGCCTGGGAAGTAAGGGCTCTTGAAGAGGAGAGTGCAAGTCCCACAACACAGAAGATATCTAAGAGCAGATCCATAATCCTCTGTACACAGGTGAGAGAGTTTATACAGTAAATAAAGGAAGTGCTTTAATATTTTGCTCAGCCCTGATTAACCAAGTGGAAGGTTAAAAAACACACAACCACCCAAAACAAAATACATACACAACTCTCCCAATAATATGTAAAATTGCATTCGAGACTACAAGTCTAAATTACAACAAGATTTGCTTCTAAAGTGAGAGGGTTTATTGTAAAAGAAGTCACTTACAGTGAAGGTAGTATAATATCTGCCTAATTTATTACTAGGAGACAAACCAACTAACAGCCTAGGCAAAGCACCTGATTGCTCTTCCAGTAGCCTGCAGAGCCCAAGCCATCAGCAATGCCTTGCTCAGGTCTCCAGCAAGTGACACTGGCCTCCCCCTCCCTGCTCCCCACTGAGGACAGGCTCATGAAGCCTTGGCCCAAGGTCCATCCTTTCTGCACAAGCCACTGCTCTCCACAGGCTGGTTAAGAACCAGAGCCTGCTGCACAGCATTTTAAATACCAAATGTTTCTGTGTCCTTTTCCCTGCCTCTGGACTATCTAAATTTTAAGATTTTTGAAGACAGGATGATATTGTCAGACACTTTTATAAAATACTAAGACCTTTACACAATACGATAATACTATAAATAACACATATGAGAAACTGTAAATCTCCTCACTCATTAGGATTTAATGACTGAAAGTGAAATTCTCTTCTTGGAAAACACATTCAGCCTTCTCACTCACAACACCGAGGTCAAGGTAGTCAATGCACTCCCTGATAAACAGTGCAACCCCACCACCTGTTTTTCCTTGCCTATCCCTTCTGAAGAGCCTGAAACCATCCACTGCAGTATTCCAATCATACGAATCATTCCACCACATTTCTGTGATGGCAATTATGTCATGAATTCCCTGCTGCACCACGGCTTCCAGCTCCTCCTGTTTGTTGCTGCAGGCATTGTCACAGATGCACTTAAGTTGCCATGTGGATCTGGCCTCCAACACTGACATTCTACCCTGGCTCATTTCTAGCAAGATGCGAGAATCTTCTGGTGAAGACCTTTACCCTACCCAGGGAGACAGGAGATTCCTCTGTGAGTCTGGTCAGGTCCATTTATCAGGCCCTCTTCTCCCCTTAGGATGGAGTCACCAAACGCAACCACTCTTCTTTTTTTCCTACTAGAGTTGGTTGTGATATGATGTGGTGACTCTTCTAGCCTGCATGATCACTTATCTACTTCATCATCTTCCTCACTTTCTCAACTCTCAGGAAAGTAGCAGGGTCTCGAATCTTATAGGGGGGTACTTGGGAAGGTGACATAAGCTGGAGGGTAATACGCCATCTACTCTGAGGAGTAAATGCTTCCAACTGCAAACGTAAGGGATCCTTAATTTCTTTCGTTTTGGGTGGCTGGGTTGCTTCTCTCAGGGATGGTAGAGTACAGCTCCACCAATCTCCCCCTCAGAATCCCTTATGCTCCTCAGCCATTTCACCTCTTCCTGTAGCTATACCACCATGCAGAGCAAATCACCAACGTGGTCACACCTTGCACAGCTACCATCCAACACCACTGACAGGCTCTGGCCCTCACTACAGACACCTGGATGGAATCACAGAATAGTTACGGATGGAAACAACCTTAAGATCACCTAGTTACAAGCTCCCTGGCATGGGCAGGGACACCTCACAATGAATCATGACACCGAAGGTTCTGTCCAACCTGGCCTTGAAAACCGCCAGGGAAGGAGCATTCAAACTTCCTTGGGCAACCCATTCCAGTGCCTCACCACCCTAACAGGAAAGAATTTCTTCCTTATATCCAATCTAAACTTCCCCTGTTTAAGTTCTAACCCGTTACCACTTGTCCTGTCACTACAGTCTCTAATGAACAGTGCCTCCCCAGCACGCCTATACGCCCCCTTCAGACACCGGAAGGCTGCTATGAGGTCTCCACACAGCCTTCTCTTCTCCAGGCTGAACAGCCCCAACTTTCTCAGCTTGTCTTCATACGGGAGGTGCTCCAGTCCCCTGATCATTCTCGTGGCCCTTCTCTGGAATTGTTCCAACAGTTCCATGTCCTTTTGATGTTGAGGACACCAGAACTGCACACAATACTCCAGGTGAGGTCTCATGAGAGCAGAGTAGAGGGGCAGAATCACCTCCTTCGACCTGCTGGTCACGCTCCTTTGGATGCAGCCCAGGATACGGTTGGCTTTCTGGGCTGCAAGCGCACACTGAAGCTGGCTCATGTTCATTTTCTCATCGACCAACACCCCCAAGTCCTTCTCCGCAGGGCTGCTCTGAATCTCTTCTCTGCCCAACCTGTAGCTGTGCCTGGGATTGCTCCCACCCAGGTGTAGGACTTTGCACTTGGCATGGTTAAACTTCATGAGGTTGGCATCAGCCCACCTCACAAGCGTGTCAAGGTCCCTCTGGATGGCATTCCTTCCCTCCAGGGTATCAAACAAACCACACAGCTTGGTGTCATCGGCAAACTTGCTGAGGGCACACTCAATCCCACTGTCCATGTCAGCGACAAAGATGTTGAACAAGACCGGTCCCAACACCGATCCCTGAGGGACACCACTTGTTACTGGTCTCCAGTTGGACATTGAGCCATTGACCACAACTCTTTGTGTGCAGCCATCCAGCCAGTTCTTTATCCACCGAGTGGTCCATCCATCAAATTGATGTCTCTCCAATTTAGAGACAAGGATGTCGTGTGGGACAGTGTCGAACGCTTTGCACAAGTCCAGGTAGATGACATCAACTGCCCTACCCCTGTCCATCAGTTCTGTAGCCCCATCATAGAAGGCCACCAAATTGGTCAGGCAGGATTTCCCCTTAGTGAAGCCATGCTGGCTGTCACCAAGCACCATGTTGTTTTTCATGTGCCTTAGCATGCCTTCCAGGAGAATCTGCTCCAGGATTTTGCCAGGCACAGGGGTGAGACTGACTGGTCTGTAATTCCCTGGGTCATCCATTTTCCCCTTCTTGAAAATGGGGGTTATATTTCCCTTTTTCCAGTCGTCGGGAACTTCACCTGACTGCCATGATTTCTCAAATATGATGGACAGCGGCTTCGCAATTTCATTTGCCAGCTCCTTCAGGACCCGCAGACGGATTTCATCAGGTCCCATGGACTTGTGCACGTTCAGATTTTTAAGATGGTCTTGAACCAGATCCTCTCCTGCAGTGGGCCCAAGGTCTTCATTCTCACAGTCCCTGTGTCTGCCTTGGGTGGTGCAGTCAGAGCATTTGCCAGTGAAGACTGACGCAAAGAAGTCTTTAAGAACCTCTGCCTTCTCCAAATACAGGGTACCCAGTTCTCCCGATAGCTTCCTGAGGGGGCCTACATTCTCCCTAGTCTGTTTTTTATTTGCTATGTACCTGTAGAAACCCTTCCTGTTATCCTTAATATCCCTAGCCAAGTTTAATTCCAACTGGGCCTTAGCTTTTCTAACCTGGTCCCTATCTTCAGAAGTTTTGAGGGACCTCTGTTTGGGTCACCACGTCCTTTCTGGCCAGCACAGAGGACTTTGTTTTCTTTGCGTTCTGCCGAGACGATGCCATCCTAGAGCACCGTCTCAATGACTGCTGGCTGAGTTCACCTTTGAAGCCTGACAGGCTACCGGGCCCTTCCTGCTCACTCTAGCCATGCAAACTGCTGTGCCATGCCCTGACTGCCTGCTCTGTTCACCATGCTCCCAGGACAGTGTTTTGTCTGCTTAGGGGTGGTGGTCACCACTCCTGGCACTGCCAGCTATGAGTCTACTGCTCAGTCAGCAGTGCTGCCAGCTCCTGACAAGGGCTTGGGGCTCCCTTGGTGGCTCTGACCATTCAGAATCAAGACTGCTGGACGCTGCAATTTCCCCATGCTCCGGTGCTGAAGGTGTCCTCTCCAGAGCTACTCACCTCATCAAATCAAAAGAACCTAATCCTTGCTGGTTTAGCACGGTACTGACCATAGATACAAGATTTTTTACTCTTTTTAACTGTAATTCTTTACACTGCTACTACTTATGCTTGGGTTTAGCTGCATTTCTCAATAAAGTTTTACTTATGATTAGCTTCAGATTTGCAGCACAGCATTAGAGTGATTCAGAGACCATAAGAAATGTTTATTTGTCTAACAAATGCTGTTTTTCCTGAAACTTTGTAAGTCATTATACAAACACTTCAGTGTTGGCTTTATGAACCTTTAATACTACAAAACAAGTCTCAGGTCAAATTTAAGTTGACAGTGCCCCTTGATAAACAGAAACAACTGAAAAATACCTGGCTTCCTTCCTCAGCCTTTAAAAATCACCTTTCTGCTTTTTTGTGAATATTAAGCCATGCTTTGATAGCAATACATGTGCAATCACAGTTAAAACTACCAAACAACCTATTTTGGTTACGTTTTAGGGATTACTTATAACCATTCTTTCCACAAGCCATCTGGAGAAGTAGGTTTCCAGTAAAACCAACTGCTGTGTAAAGTAAATAACAAAAGAAAAAAAAACCAACACCACCACTGGTCTCCAGTAGTAAGTTAGGAATGTATTTGAGAACAGGATTGAAATAAGTCAAAAACCAGTTCAAAACCCCCATTCTGAGCTACTGAATTCAAGCTCATAGTGGAGTTTTTATTCATTGATCCACTACTCAAATTATTTGTAATAGCATGGACTATAAGCATGTTCAGCTTTAAAGTGAAAAGAGACTGTTGGATGCAAAGTTACAGACTCGAAGGATCTTCAAAGAATCTTTCTGCTCATCCCTGCTTTTGTCTACCAAAAAAAAAATAAATAAATAAACACCAGCTCCTTTCAGCAAAACCAATGACAGGTTGCCAGGACTCTTGGTTTAGAAAAAGGCAGCTCTTCAGGAGGCCCTGAAACACCTAAATTGCAGATTGATGCTCTCTCTTCATGTCAGCACCTCCTGCACTGGTTCAAAGATGAACTCTACTTTTCCAGGGAAAATAGAAAAGCATCTGTATCTTGAATATGAACTGAGAACACAAAACAGGAATTAACACTATATAAATGTGAGATAAACTGAAATACGAAAAATTCACATTGACATAGCTGCACACATGTACCAACTTAGTATCTCCCTTAGCGCCCTCACAAACTGCATGACCAGCCATGCGCCAAAGCAGATGCAATTGTCATCAGCTGAAAGCAAACGAAGCAGGCAGTTCCATGGCCTCAGACGTGACAGAACCTCACACCTCAGCTATCAGGTTCAACTTGGAGTAGTCACCATATCAGCTATGCTAATGCAAGTCATCCTTGATCACAGTCAAAGTCTATGACTTTCATATTATCAATGGATTAAATAGAAATCTAGACTTCTATACCAGCTTTTCTTCTGATATGCAGTCAAATGTCAACTAATATACAAACTGCTAGAGTGGCTGGACACATGAAAGCTGTTTCTGAAATACACCTTCACAAGTGAATTAGCAACAGAAAAAGAGGTTTCAGTGGAACTCACTTGGAAAAAGAACACACCCCCCCCCCCCAGAAAAAAGACACCACCCACAAAAATCAAAACATGTAGAAGCAGGAAAATAGCCTTCTTCAAATACCAAAAGAAAGTCTTCATTTTTCTTTGCTAGAATATTATCTAGGATAAATTTTGCATTGAAACAGCCAAGAAGTTCTCCTAGAATTAATTTCTAACCAGAACTAGACATTCTGGACAATGAGCCCAATTAAGTCTATGAATCCCAGAAGCACGCTTCCTCTAGTCCTTAGCTTAACAAAACCAGAATTGTTTGCAATATTGAAATGAATAATAAGTGAGAGAACAGTAGCACAAAACATGCAAGACAGGGAAACAAAGAAGCAGGTGTGTTAATGCCGCAGACTTAACCATAGTGGAGATTAATGTCAATGTAATTGCTATTTGCTCTGCTACTGAGCATTCAAAGCCTCTGGTTTTGTTACTCACCAGATCATCCAAGAGTGCCTGCTTATTCTTCCTTTTCAGGATCTGCTGTATTTGTTCTTCTTTCTGTATGAGCAGTCGCCTTCGCTCACTTTCCTGTCGCTCTGCCTCTAACGCTTCTTCCAACTCTTCCTGCTCCCGCGTCTGAAATATAAATTAGATGATTGTGGATAATACTTCCACCTCCTCTTACCGTCCAACGCAAAGTTACCCTTGCTGCTCTCTGCAGTTAGATGTAATCATCTGTGTCTTGGTTCTTTATATATCAGAGGATGACAACGGGCCTTTGTGATACATTCACTCTAGAACGAACCCCTCTCTGCTTCCACACATCCTACTTCTCATGTGATGCAAGTTGGGTGACTGAAAATGTAACCCCACAATACCTGATTGCCATCCCTCCCACCAGATGCACCTTCTGTGCAAACAACACTGTGTGCTTATCAGCAGTGTAGGAGGAAAATGAGCAATTACAAAGCTGTGAATATTAACAGAAAAGCTTAAAAGCTATAACATATTTAAGCGCAAACTTTAAAAATGTCACATTCCCAGAAAACAAGGAATTTTTCCTATCATCTGGATTATAGTCATGTGACACAAGATGAAAAATAAGAGATTACTAGGACAAAGTGACTAGTTTTTGCTTCAGGATTTATTTCTTGAGAAGCTTTATTTAACCTTCTTAATAATCTGTATTTGAAAATCCCAGTGAAGGAAAAGAAAGAAAAAAAGAAGGGGGTTCCGAGATAGGAAAATGAAAGGATTAAACCATTTATATGGAAGAGGAAATCAAAAGAATGTCAGTTTGGTTGTAAGAGGTATAGGACAAAATATACAGTCAACATTGTCCAAATCTTCCCCACAAAAAAAATACTAAAGCAAAAGGAGATTCAGTAAAAATGCAGAGATAATTAAACCTGCATACAACTTAAAAAGATGATTTATTGATAGGAGCCATTTCAGCAAAACATCATTTCAGCCAAGAGCTTGGTAACACCTGTTCTTACAAAATTGTAACATAAAGTATAGTTAACTGATAGAGGCCAGAATATGCTGAAAAGCACCCTTTCACCAGGCAGATCAAGCCAATGGGTCCCAGTGAGGCCCAGTTACTCCTGGATGCAAGAGCTGTCAGACCTCACCACCTGCCACCAAGCCAGCAAAAGGTGCTTTCATTTTATAACTATAACTAACTATAGAAGTGACGCTGGAAAAGAGCTGGTCACCAACAAGTGACCACCTGAAACTGGATTCTCTTTGCATTTAATGAAAGGAAACAAGCAAACAAGAAAATCCCCAAGTTGCTGACTGAGGTTATTTCTGAGAATTACAGGATTTAGTTAGTTCAGTCAACAGAATTGAAGAGCTTAGGGTCTTGAAGACATTCCAAGCCTCTTCCACATTTACATCTAAAGACTGCCTGGAATTTGCACTGAAACAGAAGAAAGCTGGTAGGAAAGTGCTCAAAGACATAGTCTGAAGAACCAGACCAAAAAAAGTTATAGTCAGAAATAAGTAAACTGATGTAGAAACCTAAATCAGATCAGACTACAGGAAAGGAAGAACTATCGCATGTCAGATCAAATTCCTTCTGGAAAGAAAGACCAAACAAAACAGTAAAACAGAATGGAGAGAAGTTCAATGGGCAGTGATGGTTGTGTCAACATTGAAGATAACCTAGACACAGTCCCAACATCTAAGGAAAAAGACCAACATGGCGAAGCCTGAAGTAAACTCAAGATGACAAGTGCAAGAAGTAAATAGAAAACATAATAATGTTTCACCACATTCAAGAAAGGACAGTCAAGAAAAACACTCATCACAGAGTTCAGACAAAACTATTTCAAGACTGAACAAAGCAGCAAGTGCAATTAAACATCTAGTGACAAAGCAGGAAGTAACAAGCATATGTCTCATGACTGGAGAACAGCAGATATTGAAGGAAGAAGGCACATTTGGGAAAACTGTAGTCCACTCAGAGCGCAAGACTCTATACATGTAGATAAGCAGAATTTATAATTGTCCTGGTTTTGGCTGGGACAGAGTTAATTTTCTTCCTAGTAGCTGGTGCAGTGCTGTGTTTTGGCTTTAGTATGCAAACAGTGCTGATAACACACCAATGTTTTAGCTGTTGCTAAGTGATGCTTACCCTGATGATCAAGGACTTTTCAGTCTCTTATGCCCTGCCAGTGAGGAGAAGCACAAGAAGCAAGGAAGGAGTAGAGAAAGGACACCCCACGCAAACCAGTCAAAGGGGTATTCCATACCACAGCACGGCATGCCCAGTATATAAACTGGGGGGAGTCACCCAGGACGGCAGATCACTACTCGGGTCAGGCTGGCGGTAATCATATTGTGCACCACTGCTGGATTGGGGTTTTTTTCCTTTCTCCTTTTAGTTTTATATTCTCTCCCCTTGTTATTTTCCTTATCATTATTAGTAGTAGTATATTATACTTTATTTTAGTTATTAAACTCTTCTTATTTCAATCTATGGGGTTTACATTCTTTTGATTTGCCTCCCCATCCAACCCCAGGAGAGGGGAAGAAGTGGGTGAGCATGTGGCTGCATGGTACTTATTTATCAAGTGGGGTTAAACCACAACAATCATATATAAAAATCAATTTATAACAAGAACCCCTCCTCCACAAGTTCTTCACTTTTTCATCCAAACCTATCTGTTTAAAATTTTTCTCCACATGGTTCTGCATTAAATCTACAGATCTAACAGACGAGTTAGTACACAAGTAGCAAGGGTATTAGGAACTGGCTACAGAGCTGACAGAAGAACAAGCAGTCACTTAAATCCTGAGGTGGCTGGTTCAGTAACTTCATATTTTGATTTTTAAGAAACAATGACATACTCATGGGGAAAGAAGTAGCAGAAGTAAGATCAAAATAATTTACAAGGCCATAGATTTTTGGAGACATTAATTCATCAGTTCAAAACCAATGAGGAAAAACCCTGATGCACTACTTGACCACTACTGATTTTTAACCTCCTGTAAGAGTGCTACGAGTCTTGGGATCATGTCAACATATTTCCAGTAAAGATGGGAAAGCTGTTCTTTTGCAAGAGGCTGTTAAGATCTTAGCTACAATACTGCTTTCAGTTCTGGTCCCTTCCACTTGCCAAACACAAATTCAAACTAAAACAGGCAAAGGGTAACAAAAACACCAACATGAACAAAGAGTATTTATATTCCTCAGAAGCAAGCTATTACAGTGGACAGGAAAATTTATGTGAGTCCAAGAATGAATGGACAGTGACTTGCTATAAGAAGTTCAGGCAAGAAATTAGGACACCTTTTACCATTTATGGAGTAAAGACATCCCAAAACTTGCCAAAAAGAGCAGCTCTTGGGAGAGGGGTAAATTTATGGCCAAGATCATGCAGTTTTTGTAATAGCCAACTGTATCAAGTCTATTATTAAGTTTCAATTGTTGAAAAAGAAATGTTGAATGTTTCAAATGTTGAAAAAGAAATAAAAAAGAAATGTCCCCGGATCTCCAGTAAGTCTGCATTCACACAGGCTTGCCCAGCTTCCACCAGACAGCCTGTAGCCACAGAGAGACCCCAAAGGACAGAAAACAGAAGACCCAGAGGGCTTGGGTGGGTAGAGTATTACTGTGCTGCTTGATATGATCACACAGCTAGCGCACAGGCTGTCTGCAAGTCACGTAAGTGAACAGAAAGTGGGCTGTAGGCAAAGCACACTATTCTCACTGTGACCCTAAGAGGTTGCACCTACATTGTAAAGTAAGACATGTAGCCAAAGATTTGGCAGGTCTCTTCAAGCTCTGAAGCATAGGATATTGCACAGTGTCAGAGACAGGATAACAGATCAGAGATGGACCCCAAGGGAAATTTCCTTGCCTTTAAAAGGAAGAGGTTCAAACAAACATTTTTCAGATTCCAATCTCCTCCTGTGAAATCCTAGCGCTAAAGAAACCACTAGTTTTGCCACAGACTTCAGGGAATTGAGGATTTCTCCCCTACTGATTTGAAAGCAAGTCCTGAGTGCAACTGTAATACAAACATAAAACCTTGTTATGTCACACTCTGGGCAGACATTTTCCTTCAAGAACTGATAACAATGTGTGTTTTTACACTGAAAAAATATTTAACAGATTAAATTTTCTTATAGAAACACAAGTTTATTGTTAAAGAACAAAATGGTACCTAAACTGTATTTTAACGAACGGATCTTCAAAGAACTGTATGTTTTGCATACAGATCATATATATAATTCTCTTGATGTTATTGTTATCAGCTCTTGAACAAAACTTTTAATGTTTGTTTCAACATCCTTCATTTTAAATTTTGCATAAACCAGATCCGTGCTTTCCCTCAATTTTACAGTTCTCTCCTGGGAGCGTCATAATGTCTGCATCTGGATTCCTTTTTTCCTTCAGATGAGAAAGGACTGATTGTCCTGGTACAGGAACGAACTTTGTCTCTCCTGGATATTGTCCAATGACACTGCCAGCACTCATGCCGTGCTGATGTATTACATGCAGATTTTACTCCCTGCCCTTCTTTTCAAGCCCTTCACAAAATAAAGCGTGACTACATTTCAACTATCAATGTAGTCTCTTTACACAGCACTAAATATCAGTAGCACAGAACATCAGCATATTACAGTTTTTAAATACAAAGTGAAATCTGCACAGCGCCTTCAGCTTTGACTTGTTTTTGAGACATTACAGAAAGTACTTCACTTCGAAAATCCTTTAATTCTGTAACTAATGAATAAAAGTTGTAGGGCAGAGGAGAAGTTAACTAACCAGTTTTATCTTATTTTTCTGAATGACTTCTTTGTTATCCTTCTGGTACAGTTCCATTTTCCTTTTGGTGTTCTCCAAATCCACATTGTTGGTCAAGTTATATACTACATAAATATTAGAAAGACAGAAAGCAAAAGCATTAGGTCAGCATGCATGACCATGACAAAGAAATAGTACTCTTATGTTCTCTATCCCTTCTAGTACCAGGTACAAACATTGCAACAACAGAATTTATTTAAATATGCCCTGCAAATAAAGACATAACCTGCTAAACGCAACCTCAGTTAGCCAAGCTCCTTTAGGTTTATACATCTGTAGATGACAATTTGAGTCTTACATCCTATTTTGTGATACTGATAATGATACACATGAATAATATTATTGTTCATAGTATCTGTAAAACATTAACCTTTCCAAGTAGCATTACAACTAAGAACAGTAATCATGTAAAATTAGACTAAACATACACATATTAAGACAAGGTTAGAAATTAAGTCACTCTATTTCATAAGATTATCTAATGTACAAAGACTAGAGACCGTTCAAATTCTCAGATACACAAAAAAATTTCATATTACTCAATAACTTAGAATTACTTTTATTATGCAGAATCTGCAGATGCATCCAGATGCATAGGTAAAATGACATTCTTTTGATATCCCTTCATACTGATAGACTGTATCTCACGTAAAATTATGAGCAAGCAGGGTCAGCCAGCAAGCTCCACAGTTTAGCACAACATTCCCAATTATCTACACATTGCACAGAAGATAACTCAAGAAATTGAACAGTTTCTATCATCAACAGCTTGAAAGATGTAGACGGTTTGGATGATTAGTAATTTGATACAATGCCTGAGCCTTCACCCCTAGGTCACTGGTTCAATTGTGGGTCAAGTGAATTCCAACTGAAAGCCATTATCACTGGGAAGTTGCTGGTGATCACCATTCAGAGTGGATGCTGGGCTCATGCCCATGACCTTAAAGCTGTCAAGACTGCAAACATACAGCACTCAAGGCCTTGAAGAGGATTTGTCACATGGCTACAGTAAATCTACAAGAGCAGCAGAGAGATTTGCCCAGCCATTGATAAATACCCTTTTGCAAGAAAGTGCAATCAATATGGCATCGTTAAGTCAAACCCTGAGGAAGAGAAAGAGGTTCTAGTGAAAACTAGCATGGGATTTGCGAGATTATGGTTCAGTTCCTTCCTCCTAGGTTTTCAGGCAACTAGGCCCAAATGAACCCTGGGCACATGCACTACTGCCAAATCATTTGTATAAATATGGCTGCCAGAAAGAAATGGAAGGAAGCATGAAGTCTGTGGTTACACATCAGGACAGCACATATCTCAGTTTGGTAAAGATTACATCACTTCCTTCATCCTCTCCACTCAGCAAAAATGAACTTTTAGAAGGGTTCTAGGTAAATTAAACCATGAATAGCCTAGTAAATCAGTTAACAACAGCAAAGAGAACAGCAAGAAATCAAAGCAGGGAGCAAATGGAGGTGGGCAGAGAAAACAGGATAGGGACATTTTGCTGAAGTTGTGGGATGCAGCTCAGTTCTCAAATCCAGCTGTACTGTTCAAAAGGGGCAGCCCTGCTCTTATGTCCCTCTTCCCAGGCATAAGCCTCACTCTTTCACCTGGTCTGACTCCAGGACACCCTGGATGCTTTGCAGTGTCAACAGACACCCTCCAGTAACCTGAACTGGCTCAACAAATGGGTCAGGCAAGTGCCAGAGGTGGTACAAGGGAAGTACTAAAAGCGTACAGATGGGAATAGGAATACTCTCTTTTCAGGAGTACTGAACCACCATGTTGTCTCACTCTTACCAAATGTACTCAGTCCTTCCTTGAACTGAACTAAAAGGGCAAGGCAAGACACAGCTGAAGAAATTCCTAACCTTAAGCAAAAAAGAAAAAAAAAAAAAAAAAAAAAAAATCAACCCCAAAAGCTGTATTTTAATTGAGCCTGGCTCCTAAACCAGCTGAACTCCTCCACCACATCACCCTCACTTCAGCACTTCAGGAGGAAGATTTGAGATGGAGACTGGTTTTGCCGTTTAAGAATTTGAAAGGGTGCCAGAGTTCAATTTCCAGCTTCGCAACTGTTCTGGGGCAGATAACTGGCCCTCTCTACTGGAGGTCTCCCACCAATAAGAATCAGGAGTAGAGATATAAAGCTTCCTTATTCCTACACATCAACTGCTGTATCTCTGTACTGTAGGCATATGCAGCACCTATGCGCACAGTCTCGATCTCATCTCAAGTGGAATCTCTGGGCACTGCAGTAACCCAAACAAGCCATTCAAAGTTCAACTCCTTGGTTTCTGGAAACTACTTATCCATTTCAAATGCTTTAGGGGTTTTTGTTGTTTGTTTGTTTGGGAGGGTTTGGTGGTTTTTTTTGTTTTGATTTTGGTTGGGTTCCCCCCCCCCCCCCAAAAGGCATATTATTTTCCAAACTGACCTCCAAATTTCCATCTTACAGTTACTAGATGACAAGCAGCTTAATATTTAGGCATTATGGCACAGAAGAATTGTCATGTGAAGATGCTGGCATACAATCAGACCAGCGCTCTGCAATGACAGCAGCTGCATGGGAATGTCAGCACTTCCTTAAATCCACACACCAGCTCTCTAAACTCTTCAGTGACGACACAAGAAAGAAATAGCATCTGCGAAATGCTGTGCTAGCAGGATGCCCAGATGCCACCTTCAGGTGCAAGGGGAGCAGCATGAGGAGATGCCAAATGCCTCTTCAGGGTCCGGAACATCTTCAGTATATTTTTTTTAAATAATCCAGCAGTAAGCTGGATCTATCCAGGTTTTGCAACTATTGCTACTTGAAACATTCAAGGTTTTTCTTCTTCTCAGTTACCTTTAATAGGTTCAACTAGTCAAAACTTAGGTTTGCAAAACAAAAGCGGTAAGATTTAAAAGACATAGTAGGGAAAGCAGGAAAGTTTTAAACATGTGCTGCCAATCCCGCCTTTATTTAGAGCTACTTACAGAAGCGGGTTTATTTTGCTACTTGATATGAAGTAACATTTCCACGTAAGAGATACATTTTTGCATCAATGTTTGAGAAATCTTCAGTAGCCACCTTAAACGCCCACTGCTCTACTAGCAGCAAGGTGAAAGACAGTTTTATTTCCCCTTCTGTTTTCATCCTGTGGCTGGAACCAAACTACAGGTAAAACCCTCTGAACAGTTGCATCTGCTTATACCATGCTGATTCTGCTCTACTCATCTTACTCTACTCTGTCACTTGAGGATACCGTAGGAGACCAGCAATTAGAAAGATTCATACCTCCAGCACCCTCAAAGGCCAGAGTAAATTTCTCCCACTGAATATTGATTCATGGTCGTTGAAGAGGAACGTTACTTTGGTCATCAGCATCTGTTCCTCAACACCAAGTCATCCACATTTCAGACTTCAAATACTGAAGAGCCACGTTTTGTTGCAACACTGTTAAGTAAGACCTTAAACCGCTGTATCAGCATCAGTATCAACAGCTGTCCTTTAATAACTGAAAATAGCATCTTCCATCCTACAATAAAAATGCCTGTGGTGGGAAACTTTTATGGGCTTTTGTTGTGCAGCTGTGGCAGAAAGTCTTCACAGGCTTTTCTCACATCTTTGCCAAGGCTTTTGTCAGGGGGGGTGCACCTGCCAGTTCTGCCAGAAATTTAAAAAGGGAACATTTGGAGGAATTATATTAAAAATAAAAAACACAACAAAACAAATTCTGAAACTAGAAGAACCATAAAGAGTTAAAAACCCCTAACTCATATGCTACACCTATCCTGACAAAATATTGGTATAGATCTAAATATGACTGGCAAAGCAGATGGCTAGTTTGAAAAGGTTTCAAAGAGAAGCCAGACTTACTCTGTCCATGTTGAAATATAGCATAAGCGGATGGAAGTGGCCTAAAACCCTTCAGGGAAAAGAAACAGAAGCTGGTTTGTATGTAACAATTATTTATCTACTTATCCATCTCACATTGGTTGGTCTATAAAATGACTTGCCTTGAGATAGCTGTTGAAGTGTAACAGGAAGACTATTGTGTTTTTCTGAAACATTTCATTCTTTTTAGGTAAAATTCACTGCTACTAAAATTCAGCCTCTACAGGGAGGCTTTCAGTGCTTTTTTAAAACAGCAACATTCATTATGCAATTCTACAACAAATGGAAAAAAATCTAGTTAGAAAAAAGAAAATCAGACAAAAATATTAATTATATGGCACGCACAGTAATTTGTCTGGAGCCAGAGCACTACAAATGAATGTCACTCCACTGCAGGACTTTCAGTCCACCAAAATCTCCCTAGTTTAGTCTGAGACACTGCAAATTTTCTGAGACTTCTCCTAGGTCCTTAAGAGACAACAAATATTTTTTACATGGTAACATTATTATTCAAAGAGTCGGAACATACCCTCTCTGGCAAGATAGCAGATGATTACTCTGCTACAATGCAGATCTATTTGATCAGCATTGCTGGTATAAGCCAGCTGAAAAGTTGAAAATTAGTAGTATCAGTTTATTATAAATGATATTCCTCCCACCTTACTACAAACAGCTCCTTAATTATGATCACCATAAATCGCCAGCTCTCACCCTCAGCCTGCCTGGGAATCCCCGAGCTATTGTGGCACCTTTGGTTGGTGACTTGGATGCATGGTCCCTGCACTTTTAAGAGAAGTAGGAGAGGGGTGAGGAGGAGAAAAGAGGAAATAGATTCTAACAGGTCCTTTCCAACTAACATTTCTGCGATTATAACAAAATAATTATCAGAAACAAAAGAAAACCCATAGCTAAGCCAGAAAAATCTAGTTAGGCATTAATAATTACTTTTGTTTATCCTCAGTTTTCTTTTATTGGGTAATATTCCAGAAAAATACCTTAGCATAGTAATAAATGAGATCACTCAGCCACACTAGTCTAAGAAAGATCATTTTGACTGGAGCAGTGTGATACCAAAATCATTGTACAGGTGAGACGACTGAAATCTACCTCTGATCAGGTCGCTCACCTTCCAAGCTGGGTTATTCTCATTGTCAGGACCAGCAATACCACCCTCATGTGCACACACAGAGGAAATAAACAAAATCACAAAACAATAAACAAAACCCACAAGTGATTATAGATACCGAAATTATTCCTACCCAAGGATCGCTTGTGAGATAAATGTTCCAAGCAAGACAAGTCACTAGGCAGCTGGTATTGCATAGTCGTAGAGGAGTAATGAGATACAGGAATCCAAAGGGCACAAATACAGCAGCCTCCTTCCAAGTCAAATGCACTGAATGTTTTTAAAAACCAATAATTACCACTAACAATTGTTTTGCGGTAATGCCTAGAGGCCTCATTCAGGTATCAGGAGAATGGTGCCAGGCAGTGTCTACACACATGCTCAGAGGTGAGTTCTGCTCTGGAGAGCTTACACGGAAAGGTTTTGAAAAACTGGCTATGAAGATACTTTGGGGAAGAAATAGAGAGTGAAAGAAACTCTTTCCTTGTAGAAAGAGTGAACAGAAGTTACATTATGTCCAGAGATTATAACTTGTAACAACACTCTAAGGTTTAATCTTACCCCTCTCATCATATGGGCATAAACCCGACTTACACCTTTCCCAAAGGCAGGTTTTAACCCTTTCATTTTATTTTTCTTCCTAATGTTAATGACAACAAACTGTGTTTACAATGTTCTCAAATTGTCCAACTGATTTTAGTTTCTGGGGAAAACCTGCTTTAAAATGTGGTTTCTATTTAAAGCCTTGTATAACACATTTTAGCCCAAAGCATTATTTAGTGGCTACATTCTAAACCACTTCAAAAATGTGTTTTTTATAATAGAAATCTTAAGAGGTGACTACCCTAATGTTTGCTTGACCTTCACACACACACACACACACACACTTCCGCTCTACCACCCAACTCTTTTCTTTAATTAGAAAAAGTCTGTAGGTATAACATGCCTGATATGAAGGGGGAAAATGTGTTTCAAGTGAGGTCATATATCACATCAATGGAGTAAGACAGTGCAATTACTGCAAATGCTGGATCTGACCTACCTGTAACATTTGGTAGAACTATCAGAACTGTGCTAGGATCATGTGTACTTATACAGGAGTTTACATTTTGTCTCTGCCAAGCAACTACTTCATATAAACCCCCATAACAACTTACTAAACGAAGCTTGCCAGTAAAGAGAAAACAAGGTAAAGCTGCACCTCACCCCTCCTACAGAAAAGCTGAAAGTCTGGGGAAAGGGGAGAAAGGGGAAGTGCAGCTCTCTGGCTCCCCAGCTTCCTTACCTGGTAGCTTCAACAACTGCCACCAGCCAACCTGCTGTACATTGGTCCCACAAGACAAAACTTTGCACTGCATGACTATACCCTTTCTTTCCCATCTTCCAGCCTAATTTTTCACATGCAAACAGGGAATTCATATATTCAAAAAACATAAATAACTACTCTCAGCAGTAAAATGTGAAGTAACAATGCAAAGGCAACTTTAACACATCGTTCAGTCATACCATATGCAACATGCACAGCAAAGCCACTGGAAGAACTCTAATAACACAGTAATAGTGTTACAACTGTCAAGTGGAGACCTCTGTCCATGCGCACAAGCAGGGAAGGGCTTGGGGAGAACACGATGTGTGCAACAAGGTTTGTGACCAAGGAAAGGAGAACAAGGCTTGAATTCTTACCCTAGGTAGTGTTCTTGAATCTCACCTGTCCTCCAGCTTCCGCATCTGCCTGAAGTTAGTACAGCATAAATGACCCCTTTGACAGTGGAAATTAAGAGCCTCCTGACTGCACCCCTTCTTTCCTCTCATTACCCCGGCTGCTACATGAGGAAACTAGGAGGCAGTCAGACTTAACGCTCCTCTTAGTATTTTAGGCATCCCTTTCAGGCAACTAACTCCAATACCTAAATCTTATCTGCTGAGCTGCTTCACTGTGCATTTGCAGGGCCAGCACAATTATTGACAAATTCACTTTTCGTCACAAGGTTACAAAGACCAGCCATGATTTCTGCTGCTTCTAAATCAACTTACCAATGCTGGCTCTTGAACCATTTGAAATTTAACAACCTAATCCCAAGAGCTGGAGAACAGTAATATTTTGCACAAATAGATGCGGTTAAGGTAATTTCAAGTAAAACTTCAACTCCCTTGTTGCAGATGCTAAAAACCCCTGCAACAGCAGTAAGTGGGAAACCTGTACTTAATACTACATAAATAAGAAGCAGTTTTCCTTTTTATGAGCACAGAGATTCTTCCAGGATATTCTGGCTAAGATGCATCCATTCTTTCTACTCATTTCCTCCTTACCCCACACCATCCAAAAAAATATGCAAACAGAACTACACCCACATCATCTCCTCCAGATAGTTGGAGCCATAAGAGTGCGCCTGGTGCTTCCCAGCCACACAATTTAGCTCTCCAGCCTCATCTTTCCGAGGCCAACAAAAACAACATATTACTCACAGGAGTAAGTGTATTGGATACATTTCTACAAAACAACACAGTGCAAAGAGGAGCAAGGGCTCCTCTGAGAAACTGAAAGGGAGTGGCATCTCCACATTTTCCTTCAAACTACATTCACTGCTCCTTCTGCATGTTCTAAGCCACCTCTTCTTCCTCCAGGACACAAAAAAGGAGAAGCCTCAGAAGCTCATAAAAACAAGAAACAAACCATTTAGGAGTCACTCCTTTGAACACATCCTTGTTTTTCTAAGCAAAATCCATCACTCCACCATAGATCACATCACCCGAACTAAGAAGAAAATAAACTCTGTTGATAACATAGTCCTTTCCCCAGAGGGCAAAGTTCTGCTTCAACTAATCCAAAGAGAAAGAAATCAATGTCTGTTCCTAAACCTTCTCTTTCTGCATAGCAACATAAAATGCTACCACAGTGGTATGTAAGGTCATCAGCTTCAAAGCAGCTTCAACTACTGTACTTGCAGAAGCAAAAACGATGAAAGACACCATATGGCTTCTGTCATGGTAGATAAAGCTAATGGAGGCATATAATGAAAATTTCAATTCCTCTTCTCTGTTTAATCTTTCCCAGCACAGCACAGACAGTGCCCTGCAAGCCTTTCCTTTCCAGATATAAAGCACCGATTCCTCTTCAAAACATGTTTTTTTTTCCCTGGCAGATTAAAATATTTTACTTAATGTCCTACAGTTCAGAAAATATGATTAAAAATGTACAGAAAAAGGTAATTAGATAAACATCTGATACTATGATAAATCCTATTACAGAAATTCAACTTGGACATTCTCATAGGTAGCTGAGTCAGAAGGTAAAAAGCTATGGTCTCATGAGCACAGCACATCAAAAATGCAAGCATTAAGACTTACCAATTTCTTCTATTTCTTCTAGGAAATCATTATATTCACTTAGACTGGGAAAGTCATCCTCTCTTTTATTGTATCTTTGAGAGAAGAGAAACAAGTTATTTATAGAAACACACAAAAATGTGATTTCAATTCAGTAAGGCTCTTCATGCAAGCCTATTAAGTATTGGCCTATTTTTATCAACAATGTGCTTTGCTGCTCCCACAACTGACCAACAAATAGAATCCTTAAGAGGAGACAGAAGCATTTCTTTCAAAGGAAAGGACCCAGCCTGGCATAAACAGGTGCTATTGTTGCCTCCTAATTGACAACTCCTTTTCCAGGGTTACATGTAAACAGAAGAACAGGGACTAGAATACCCTAGTTCCAAGTCAGCCCTTTAACACAAGAAACCTGTTAAGAATGCCAGAGGCAACAGTAACACCCACAAGAAAAGCTTTTCTATAAGTATTAGAAAAAGGAGCTTGGCTTTGCACCAACAACAGAAAGCATGTCAGCAGCAAACTGAAAATGCAACACACTCATTGTGTATCAATAGAACATTCCAGAACTCATTTATCCAATATTTGATAGATGGAAAAATTAGTAAGATGAAGGGACAACTGGCTAGAATGTGAACAGCCTCTCAAAGTCAAGACTTTGGGCTTTCTTCCCAAGAAAACATAAAGCTGAGATTCTGCCTGGTCTGTGGAGCAAGACACATTACACCAGGAGTATAAAAATCTAAACCCGAGTACTCTGCCCAAATTCCAAACTGGGGACATTTTTTCTGCCTACTAAAAAGTAATCTGTCAAATCCAAGTGAACCAAGCATTTTATAATACTTTCTGTTCTAACTATATTTCATAATTAGTCAACTAAGTTGACTTCATCCCAGCTTGACTTTTAACTTCAGTAGACTTTATCAAACACGAAAACTATTACTACTTTTCCCATCACCATGTTGGTAGTCAACGACAAAATTTCCCCACATCTTGGCAGTATCATACAGAATTGCAGAATCATAGAATGGTTTGGGTTGGAAAGGACCTTAAAGATCATCCAGTTCCACTCCCCCCTGCCATGGGCAGGGACACCTTCCACTGGACCAGGCTGCTCAAAGCCCCATCCAACCTGGTCTTGAACACTGCCAAGGATGGGGCAGCGACAGCTTCTCTGGGTAACCTGTGCCAGTGCCTCACCACCCTAACAGGAACGAAATTCCTTATATCTAACCTGAACTTCCCCTGTTTAAGTTTAAACCCACTACCCCTTCTCCTATCACTATAGTCCCTAATGAAGAGTCTTCTTCAGCATCCCTGCAGGCCCCCTTCAGATACTGGAAGGCTGCTATGAGGTCTCCACGCAGCCTTCTCTTCTCCAGGCTGAACAGCCCCAACTTTCTCAGCCTATCTTCATACAGGAGGTGCTCCAGTCCCCTGATCATCCTCGTGGCCCTCCTCTGGACTTGTTCCAACAGTTCCATGTCCTTCTGATGTTGAGGACACCAGAACTGCACACAATACTCCAGGTGAGGTCTCACGAGAGCAGAGTAGAGGGCCAGGATCACCTCCTTCGACCTGCTGGTCACGCTCCTTTGGATGCAGCCCAGGATACGGTTGGCTTTCTGGGCTGCGAGCGCACGCTGAAGCCAGCTCATGCTCATTTTCTCATCGACCAACACCCCCAAGTCCTTCTCTGCAGGGCTGCTTTGAGTCTCTTCTCCACTCAACCTGCAGGTGCACTTGGGATTGACCTGACTCAGGCGTAGGACCTTGCACTTGGCTTGGTTAAACTGCATAAGGTTGGCATCGGCCCACCTCTCAAGCTTGCCAAGGTCCCTCTGGATGGCATTCCTTCCCTTCAGCGTATCAACCATACCACATAGCTTGGTGTCATCGGCAACCTTGGTCAGGCTGTCACCAGCCACCTCATTGTTTTTCATGTGCCCTAGCATGGCTTCCAGGAGAATCTGCTCCATGATCTTGCCAGGCACAGAGGTGAGACTGACTGGTCTTTAGTTTCCTGCATCTTACAATTCATTAAGTATTGTGCTAAGCCTTAGATAAATGCTGCCAAGCTTACAATTTATCTGTACGTACATTTTTGCAGACACAAGTCTCCCCAGGTTTGTTAGGCTGCAGACCCTCTTCCACCAAAACATCAACTGGCTTACTTATTTTACTTATAAAACATCATTTTTTAGCCACAGAACATGAGATGCAATTTTTCACCTCATTTGTCTCAACTCCAAGAGCTCTCAAATCTGCATGACAGAGTAGTAACACAAGGCTCCTAAGGAAGCATTTCATTACTAGCAGTTGCTGTGTGAAGTAGAAAACAATGTGAACATAGCTTCTCTTGTCAATTTTGTTTTGAAGGGAACTGGCCATCAACTCTGAGAACATATTCCCAGGAATTAAACCAATCAAGGGCCTATTTCTTGCCCCACTCCCATGTTCATCTCCTCAAGGGGAAAGCAATATCTAATCACCTCCATTTAGGAGGCAAGTCTTCACCAAAGAAGGCCACACAGAAACACCCAACATTCTCTAATGCTACACAGGAATCCCTCAAGGCTACACTGAGAATTCAGTTGTTGCATAAAATCAGATTCTCTGAAATTCCTCTATATTAATTAAATGGATTCAGTTTCATGGGTCGTCACTTCAAAAAATAAATTATCTCATCTTTTCTTCTAGAAGTAAGTTAATTTTTTTAAATGGTGATTCATGCAATACATCCGCCTTCTGTTCTTTTAACTGGTGATACTCACATTTTCAGCACTTTCTTCCTAATTTCCACTTCCTTGTCAATAGCAGGATCCTCAAAGAGCTGTACCCTGAAGTTACTTTTTCGCAGAAGGGTATCACACTCATGGCAATTCCCAGCCCCTCTCACAAACAGCAGTTCCACACAGCTCTCACATCTGCGGGAGAAAGGAAGGGGTATAAAGGCAGATGCATGTTAAACAGTAACCAAAACACAGGATCGTTCCCTTTACGTGTTGTTTACATACACACTATAAGGATTAGTGCCAGTGCTTCTCTCCTTGATTTCACTATTTCTCCAGCACCCAACAGTGGCAAGGAGGCAAGGGAGCTCCAAACTGGCTGAAAGAAAACAATCTCAGCAGTGCAAATGCATTTATTCTCCTTGCCCCAAACAACTCTGCCTCTTTGCTGAGACCAAAAATTAATCCAAACACAATGATGGGGTTTGTGTCAAGGGCAAGCTTGTATAGTGACACCATCAGATTCATTTCACGTGGACCAGATCACAATATCCTTATTTACTCCGCGTACTACCTTGCTGCACAAAAAGCCCCATTTATTGTTTTTATGACATTCACAGTGCAAGGTACTATTTAGCAAAAGCAGCAATACAAGTATTGCCACAGCCTGTCAAGAATCTACCAGTAGCACCACACAGGAACTGCTGTAACAAACCTAAGATAAACTCCAGCTTAACACAGCTAGAAGAATTCAAATACCATTTTAACCAGCGACGAGCATTATGCAGCTCTCCTGTGCCTTCTGTTACCACTTTTTAAAATTACACATAAAGTATACTTTACACAAAGGCTGCACAGAAATAAACCAAAAATACCTTTCTGCTTTTGTTTCTTTTCTCTTAATGAAGATTTCAGATTTTAACAAGATGTATGCTGACCAGCCAAACTGGCATTTAATAAAGGAAGAACACAAAACAAGAAAGTTCACTTTTTGAAAAGAAAGTACTTAGGTACTAACAAAGTGTAAATTTCTAGCAGAGGACAACACCTGCTGCAGTCATTTCCGACTGCAGGGGAGGCAAGAGACTCCCTATTTATAGCTTTGCTATATTGAAGCCAAAGTAGTTGTACATTAAGGGCTGAGCTATACGATACGTCCACCAACCCAGCACAAAAGCTAAACAAGTTCAGAGAAACAATACTGATATGGTTGCAAAGGATGTTAACCAAAACTTTCACTCTGCTGACCTACCTCCAACTAAACTGGTTCCAGTACTTACGGAGGCAGAGCTGGCTAGGATCAACCAGTTTTACCCAGCTTCTGTTTTCAAGATTAGAAAGTGCAAAACACAATTGTATCTTACAATTAAAAAATAAAAGAGCTTTTTTTTTGTTAATACAAGTAGAACTACAGTTTCAAAACGCACAGCAGCTGCCAACGCTAAAGAGCAAACCTTGAAGTTATTTTGATGTTTTTCTGCTCCAGAATTCCTTTAGTTAGAAAACTAAGAACATTTAAATGCGATTTATCTAGGAAAGAAAAGCTCAAACCTTTTAGCACACTAGGCCTGAAATTCAGAAGTTACTGAACAACAGCTCAAGATACAAGCTTTATGCAAATCATTTAGCTCACTGTTATGGGAGAAGCAGCACTAAATACAAGAGAGAAGGCAAGGCAGGGAAAGGGTTTTCTCCTTCCTCCCCTAACACGTCTGTGCATGCAACAGCAGCACATAAGGACAGTTTCATGGTCTCCATTTTGGCAGCTTGTGCTGTTTATGTGTCTCTCTGAACACAGCAGCCAAAGCACAGGGAGGGAAAAAAAAGGGAGTGCAAACCTACAGAACTTGGCAGGTAGATCCTAGTGCAGGTGTCTGTATTGGGGTTTTTGGTTGTTTGGGGATTTTTTTTATCATTGTGTTGCCTAAGGACCAACAATACAGGGTCTCCATGTGCAGACGTTATGAAACCACTTCCCTGCTCCCCTCCCCTATATCAGAGACATTTCAAGTTTACACAACACTTGACCATGGAAAGAAAAACCCCTCCTTGGAAGAGCACTTAGCACTTTGTACAAGTGCTTCAGTGTCTTCCCAAATTGGAGCCAGTGTTTCTAAGGCTGGAAAACAGCTTTCCATGAATAAAAGCAAAAAAAAAAAAAAGAAAAAAGATGAGTTAACTCCTCACAATGGGAACCGTGTGTCTGGTGATCCCATTCTCACTCATTCACACCCACCCTCATATTTATTCGTTGGTAATTCCTTCTGAATTCAAAGGGTTATATGGGACAAATCAAGGGCAGACCTGGACTTTCTCCAAATCCTGCCTCCTCTGTATCTCCAGATAGATTTAACACACACAGATCCCAAGCTTACTTCTTAGCAAGTCTGTCATCCTCACCTCAACAAACTGCAGCTGCTTTCCCAGTGACGGCAAATGCGTTTGGCCACACACTTCCACCCAATTCTTGAGAAAGGAAAAAACACATCTCCTGAATCCTTCTGAAACAAGTGCTACAGACCACTGAAGTCAGAGCAGATGCAAACACTAGGAAGGCAGATTTCAATAAAGATGGGTTTAATAAATTGTTTCATGTCTTGAAATAAAGATTTCAAAATATGACTAAAAAAAACCAAACCAAAAAACACCTCACACTGTAAAATTTAAAAGTACAGAATAACTTCCTCCCCCCCTTTTTTAAGCAATTTAGATGACTTACCCAAAGACATCCAACCCATGCAACAGCCAAGACATCCCAGGCAGCAGTGGGGGACACCCCAACACTACTGCTGACAGCTCCCACATCATGCATAAACCCCATCAATTCAGGGGATTCTTCCATTTTTTTGCAAGTCTAACCCTTCTCATTCGCCTTAGTGTAAGGACAGTGACTATGGAAGCAGGACATCATTCAGTGCAACTTTTACTGGACAATACATCACATACAGCTTTCCCCAGATAAGCACTGCACCAAACCACCTGCTTAATTCCCTTGCAAACATGATGTTTTCTTAAATTGGAAGCCGTAAATCAGCAATGTTTATATGCATATATATATTAAATGCATATGCATATATGCTGCACATAGAAACCAATGATGACAAATGTTCATACTTAAAAAACAGGCACATATATTGTTCACTATTATTCAATACTGAGTATACAGCGTTACATGAAGTCTAAGCAAGCACTCAGGGTACAATACTGTCAATTCTCCTCTTCACACTGAGGTTGTACGGCCTCTGTGATCTGCGTTATGTTTCACACATTCACTAAAATCTTTCATTATCTTTTGGATTTAAGTTTTTACCCTGATGTATTGGGTTTGCACGGAAAGGTTTTGGGAGCAGGGTGGCTACATGGGTGGCTTTTGTTAGCAGCTGCCAGAAGTCTTCCCCATGTCAGATGGAGTCAGTGCCAACAAGCTCCAAGACAGACCGACCACTGGCCCAGGCTGAGCCTACTAGTGACAATTATAGTGTTTCTGGGATAATGTATTTAAGAAGGGGGAAAAGTTACTACAAGAGAGCCACAGCAGCCAGGCAAGAGTAACAGGAATAAACGAGAGAAACAGTCCAGCAGACATCAAGATCAGTGAAGAAGGGGAGGAAGCACTCCAGCCACTGGAGCAGAGGTTTCCCCACAGCCCATGGTGAGGCAGTATATCCCCCCACCTCCTCGTGTCCACCATGGAGGTCCATGGTGGAGCAGATCTCCACCTGCAGCATGGAGAAGACCCCATGCAGGAGCAGAGGGACGCCCAAAGAAGGCTGGGACCCTGTGGGAAGCCTGCACTGGAGCAGGTTTGCTGGCAGGAGTTGTGACCCCATGAGAGACCTATATTGGAACAGGGGAGAAGTGTGATGAGTCCTCCCCTGAGGAGGAAGGAGCAGAGTCATCTGGATGCAGCTATTAATAGAAAATGCTCAGGGAGTTACATATGCATGGCCAGCAGGGGAAGACTATAAGCAACATCACCAACAAAAGCAATCACAACACCTCAAGGAACAATAAAGTCTCCTGGTCTAGCACATCAGGATAATAAACATGAGCATGCTCATTTTCATTTCCATGGACACTGGTTTAAGCTCTCTTGTTCTTCTCTTTCATCCCCATGAAATATTAAAACAAATGGCTCGGTCTCTAAGCAGTCTAAAATGACACCACATTTTTGAAAGCATCTAGATGGTTTGTAGTGCACAAATAGCACTACGTGTCCTCTTGTCAGTGTTCAAGGACTTCAGGATAAGGATCGGACTAAAAATGTTTTTGGTACACTGCAGAAAACAAGCAGAGGTTCCTCTCCAGAAAACTGTTAGATATTTAACAACTAAATTACACTTACTGGAACTGAGTGTTTGTTTTGGATAGTGTCTTCAAAGGGTACAAGATACGTGCCCTGCATTCCCTACACATGGGCACATAGACGTTGTAGAGGTGTGATTTCAGATAAGGAATCAAGCCTCCTGAACACTGACTGGTTTAAAATGGCCCAAAACATTAGCACAGAATCACAGAATCATAGAATAGTTAGGGTTGGAAAGGACCTTAAAGATCATCTAGTTCCAACCCCCCTGCCATGGGCAGGGACACCTCACACTAAACCATCTCACCCAAGGCCTCATGCAACCTGGTCTTGAACACTGCCAGGGATGGAGAATTCACAACTTCCTTGGGCAGCCTGTTCCAGTGCTTCACCACCCTAATAGGAAGGAATTTCCTTCTTATAACCAATTTAAACTTCCCCTGTTTAAGTTTTAACCCATTACCCCTTGTCCTATTCACTACAGTCTCCAATGAAGAGTCCCTCCCCAGCACGCCTATACGCCCCCTTCAGACACCGGAAGGCTGCTATGAGGTCTCCACACAGCCTTCTCTTCTCCAGGCTGAACAGCCCCAACTTTCTCAGCCTATCTTCATACAGGAGGTGCTCCAGTCCCCTGATCATCCTCGTGGCCCTCCTCTGGACTTGTTCCAACAGTTCCATGTCCTTTTTATGTTGAGGACACCAGAACTGCACACAATACTCCAGGTGAGGTCTCACGAGAGCAGAGTAGAGGGCCAGGATCACCTCCTTCGACCTGCTGGTCACGCTCCTTTGGATGCAGCCCAGGATATGGTTGGCTTTCTGGGCTGCAAGCGCACACTGAAGCTGGCTCATGTTCATTTTCTCATTGACCAACACCCCCAAGTCC